GGCAGCTACATGCATTTCACATGAGCCAAAGATTGCTGGTCCCAATTTCTTCTGCCGCTGAAAAGGAAATACAGGATTAAAAAAAAGACTCTTGTCTTTACTCACAGAGAATTAACCTCAGGAAGGTGACGGTCACTCAGGAAGCTGGAGGTTAGCCTGGTGAAGAAACCAAAGGTTGATTTACTTGAAACTGCAGCTGCCTTGGGCAGTGGGAGGTGCAAGAGGGAGCTATATATTCCCATCTCAGCGCTCACCGCGCAGACTCTGACAGGCGCCCCACCCACCTCTGCCTCCTCCAGGATCACAGGTAAGGGCTGCCAGCAGCACTGCTTCACTGCACGGAGCTCTTCTGAAAGTGATAGCAATGATGCGCATCGTCTCATTGGTCTGTTTCGTTTTGTCTGATTGTTCTTTACCTAGTCTGCTAGAAAGTAAGTAAAATGCATTTTTCATCTGATTTAATCTGGAGGCAATTTGTTTATTTGCATAAAAATAATCCTTTAGGAGCACATGGGATGCGGGGATAGGATGTCTGGCCCCCACAGATTCTTCGTGAAAAAAGCAGAGAGTTTCCTCACAGTAGAAGGCTGATGTGGCAACATCCACCTCTCTTGGGATCTGTTGTAAAGCGTTTTCTACACAGTCTTAGTATAGTCAGCATGGACACAAAGATAAAGAAACACACTATTTCTTTTTCACATAAGTTTTCTTTGAAATAGTAATTTCAATAGGCTTCTAATGATGAAATGTTTACATGTGTGTTAAAATGGATTTGAAAAGTCAAAAGAAGAAAAACGTTACTTGCCAGAAACCTACAACCTACATAAAAGGCATTTCGATTAAGAAAATTGTATTACAGACTAACCTTCCCTTCAGTAAAGTCATTATAAAATGACGGATGCTTTTCCAGGAGCTCCACACAGCGTCAAGACACCATGGATTCACTCAGTGGACCAATCAGCCACTTCGCAGTCGATCTGTACCAACAGATCAGACGGACATCAACTGGGAAGAATATCTTCTACTCCCCCCTCAGCATCATGTCAGCCTTGGGCATGACTTACTTGGGGTCCCGAGGAAACACTGCTGCACAACTTCAGAAGGTAGGTGGCAGCTTCCTTTACCTGGAACAGTTGGCACTGGTCCCTCTGTTGTCTTGTGTTCAGATGGTCACAGATCTGGCTGTCCCCAGGGCTCGCACAGAGAGCGGCAAGCAGCCGCGTGACTGGGTGGGCCCGGGGTGGTGGGGAACACATGTCACCCCCAGTGCCCAGCCCCCTCTGCTTCCCTCAGCCCAGACCTCATCTGGGACCCACATGAACCCCTACAAATGCCCCCCAACCAGAGAGGAAGAGTTTATCTAGAAGTGACACATTGACTACACTCCGTGGGAGACAGCTTTGCGTGCTCCCTCTGCAGTGAGTGAAAATGAATCAGGATTCTTTGAAGCGGCTAGTGATTAACCCGCTTTGCTATGTCCTCAAGGAGCAAAATGCTTACACTTTACTTCGCTTTGTTCTTAAGTCTTTGTTTCTCTCTTTAGTTTGTTTTTTTTTTTGCTTTGGTTTGGGGTTTTAGTTTGTTTTCTTGCAAACTTTCTTCCTTTTTGCCTTCTTTTTTCCTTCCACCCTTCCTTTCTTTCCTTTCCTTCTTTGAGGTAAAGATCTTTACAATTTCTTTGTCCCACTTCCTGTCTCCCGCAGGCCCTTCACTTTAAAAGGGTCA